TCTTTCCAAAGCCCTGTACCTGACTTTATCCATAATGTTCTCTTTCTTAATTTGGAGAGCCCTCCAAATTGTACAAATGCCATGCCCCAAAACTGACATCCATGACTCTGTGGGAATCAAAGGATGGGACAAGATACCACCTTGAGTAAGTCATCTTTTGGACTTCTGCTCTCTCCTGTGTGCAGAGAATCCCAGGAACACCAGGACCCATGGTCAGGTGTTCAGGACCGCTGGATTTTATATATCCCCTTTTTTCACCCGGATGTCCTTCCTGTAAACTGAGCATTTAACTCTCCTACAGTGCCTTACCTCGCAGAGATGCTTGGAGGGCGACGTGGACTACATTTCCACAGCTCTGGTTTGTAAATTAATTGCAGTTACCCCTAGCCTGCAGGAAATGAGATGCCAAAAATGAAGAGGAGTGGATCCCTTCCAAACCTTCACAACTCTCAGATTGTACTAAACCAGGAGCAAAAACCCTCTTTAGCATTTGAAAGGGAAGGCAATTGTATTACTCAGCCTCACTCCACCGCCTCCAGACTTTTCTCAGCCAGAGAACAAAGGGCAAAAAGCAAACACCACTTCATACCCCTATTCACTGGAGGTTAAAAGAGACCTCCCACTATACAAACGTCCTTCTAAAGGTCAGTTTGGGAGTGTATTGAGGAGGAGGGCACTGGCCCCGGAACGAAATGTTTACCATCACCCTCAGGCGGGCTGCTTCTGTTTTCCTTTTAGCACGTGCACGGGGTACATCTATCAGAATTGGACATTTGCATCCCTGATTAGCTTGCTGGTGGGCAAGTTCTACTTCCTTGGCCCTCTGCACTCTTTCCAATTCTTGATCCCAATTGAACTAAGAAAGCAGGACCACCCTGAGCCAGCACAGCTCCTAGGGGACGATTATTCATTCATATTTATTAAGTCAACTGACACTGATTGAGCGCCTAATGTGGATCTAGCACCGTGCTAGGCGCTGAAAGGATGGAACAATGCACAGAGCTGGCACGCTTGTCTTACAGCTTCAATTCAATCGGGAAGACTGACATTGAACGATGAAACGCACACTTCATTATTTAAATACAACTGTGATAAATGTTTAAAGGAGCATAGTGTGGCAAAGAGAGCTTAATAAGAGAGTGGCTGATCTCAGTTGGGTTGTGAGAGAGGGGGGCTTTTTGGAGGAAGTGGAAGGGTAGGAGTTAGTTCTCTAAGTGCCAGGGCAATTGAGACCATGCTGGGTCTGGGGGTGGTGCGGTGGGGGGGAGGGGCAGTAGGCAGAAAGGCCTAGACTTGGGAAAAACATGGCCTGGCACAGGAATTGGAAGGAGAGTGATGTGGCTGGAGTCCACAGGGCAAGGCAGAATGGGGCTGGAGACGGGCAGGAGGGGAGCTTCCGCAGGGCTTTGTACTGGGAGGTTTTTGCAGTCTGTCTCTAAAGCACTGGGGAGCTAGTTATGGGCTTTAATGGGGGCAGTGACTTAGAGGTCTGCAATGTAAAGAGGAAGAGTTTTGTGGGGCAAGAGGTTGATGCAGAGAGATCACTGAGTGAGTTTTGTCAAAAGTCAAGATGAGTAGTTCTCAAATTTTAATGAATTGCCTGGGGGTCTTGTTAAAATTAAATTAAAAAGATTCTGATTTGGTAGGACTGGGGTGTTGCCTGAGATTCTGCATTTTGAATGAGCTCCCAGGTGCCTATGCTGCCATTCCCTGCTACAAACACTTTAGTAACTAAGTTTTAGATCAGGGTTGCACTGGAGATGAAGAAAAGCAAATCTGAGAGCTATTATGTGGGAAGTGAGTGAAAGTATCAAGATATCTTGCCGGGCTCTAACTTGGGCAACTGGGTGGAAGGGGGTGGTGTTCACTGAGACAGTGTGCACCAGAAAAGAAAGAGTAAGTTTGGGTGGGAGGTGAAAAGCTCAGTTTTGGACACATTGACGTTGATGTGTCTTAGGAATATCCAAGTAGGCAATGGTACATATGGATCTGAAGCTCAAGACAGAGGAGGAAGCTGGAGATATAAATTTAGGAGTCATCAATATGTAGATGGTAATTAAAGCTATGAAAATGGATACTACCAGCCTAGGGAGTACACAACAGAGGTTAAAAACTCAAATATGGCCTGTTGGCGATCTGTTGGCCTTCTTTTAAGAACTTGCAAGGAGAGGACCAAGACCAAGCAAGAATTAAATAACTGAGTGGGGAAGAGAAGTCAACAAAGAAATCTAAGAAGAGACCAAGTTGGCAGAAAAACCACTTTGGTATCCAGGAGTTCTTCCCTTTCTTGCTTGCTAACAGAACCGGTTTTAGACTTGGGGATAGCCTTGGATTCAGGGAAGTAGATCCTTCCTGTAGCCCCAGTGGCTGAGTCATGGTTGATCTAAACCAGACATGATCGTCTCATCCCACTTTGCCTGAAGATTGGTCCAGTGGGCTCTGACCAATCAGATAAGAAAAGGGAAGCAAACTGGGAGGAGTGGGGATTCCAGAAGACATTTTTTTTTTTTTTTTTTTTTTTTTTGAGACAGAGTCTCGCTCTGTTGCCTGGGCTAGAGTGCATGATGTCAGCCTAGCTCACAGCAAGCAAACTCAAACTCCTGGGCTCAAGTGATCCTCCTGTCTAAGCCTCCCGAGTAGCTGGGACTACAGGTACACGCCACCAGCCCAGCTAATTTTTTCTTTTCTTTTTTTTTTTTTTTCAGTAGAGACAGGTTCTCATTCTTGCTCAGGCTAGTCTCAAACTCCTGACTTCAAGCAATCCTCCTGCCTCGGCCTCCCAGAACACTAGGATTACAGGTGTGAGCCACTGCACCTGGCCCAGAAGAGGGATGAGGATAAGGGCAAAGGAGCTTCATGGTGCCGCCGTGTCCTCCTTTTTCCAGCTTGGAACTCAGACACGATGTCAGAGCAATGGGAGCCATCCTAGGACTGAGAGGAGATAAGGGAAAAAACTCGACAGCTAAGAGTGGTGAAACGAAAAACTAAAAAGTGCCTGTGTTGACCAGCTGAGCTGCTGACCGACTCACCTGCTTTGCAATGATCTCCCTGTAGTCTGTTGGTGAGATGGGAAATGCCTAAACTGCTTAAGCTACTGGTAGATGGTTCTTTCACTTGCAGCTGAATATATTTCTAACTGTTAATTAGTTTCTATCACATAGTGACATTGTATACTGTAGTTCCGGAGTTACATAGACGTTGTTCAGATAGATATGGTGTTTAACCTTGGACATTTTGTGTGTTTCCTCAGTTTCCTCATCTGTAAAATGGAGATAGTAATAGTATCTATCTTAAGAACTCTCATACACTGTTGGTGGGAGTGTAAACTAGCAAAGCTACTTTGAAAAGTAATTTGGCAGGATTTACTACAACTGAAAATGCAGATAGTAGGCAATTCTACTTGTAGGTAAATCTCAGAGAGACTTTTGCACAGTGCATTGAGAGACATATACGAGAGTATTCATTGAAATATTTTATTTTGTAATAGGAAAGAATTAGAAACTGTATAAATATCCATCAGGAGAAAATACATAAGTAAGGTATAGTATATTGATATGATAGTATACAATGGAGCCGTTTAAACAGATGAACTAGCTCGCTCTATATATATCAACGTGGAGGAATCTCAGAAACATAATGCTGAGTAAAAAAAGCAAATTGCAGAGTGAGACATACAGTATGATTCATTTATATACATTTTAAAAGCAGACACTATACTACATATTTTTACGGATCTGTAAGTCTATGGAAAATAGATTGGAAGGACACACATTAGACACACTTGGGGATGAAGGATGAAGACGATAAGGAAAAGTTGGGGTCATGTCTAGACAGATGATTATATCATGCCGGCCAAGGAAATGAGGGACTGATTGAATCAATTCAGTTCTGTGCCTCTGTAGCTCAACCTTAAAAACAAAATAAAACAAAACAAAATAGTATTGCTCTTCTAGGATTAAATGACATAATAGCTCAATGTCTGACACATAGTAAGGGTTTAACAAAGGGTGGGCATCGCCATTATTATCATGCTCACCTGCTATGCTCTGCCTTTTTGCTTTCCATAGGCTCTTTCTAGCACGCTAATTTTAGAAAGACGGGGAGTTTGGCTGGATACTTCTCTCTGCACCTAAATTTCCGGTTCCCATTGATTGGCTTGAGGGCTGTAAAAGCAAAATGCTTGGTTTGGGGCCAGGTATTGATGTGCACAGAGGCTACTCTAATGGGTTAAAAAAAAAAAGTGCTACCAGGCACATACCCAATGTCAGCCCACTTCAATCCACCAAATAACCACAAGGAAAGAGACATTTTGCTAGTATAAATCCTTGCATTTTGCATAAATAGCCTATATTAATCAGGACTAGACTGAACAAAAAGGGAAATTTATTGGTGAGTGTAAAACTTGGGGAGTTTAAGAAAAATAACTGGCTTCAACTTTCTCAACTGAATTAGGCAGTTCTCACTGTGTGCGTCTACCTAATTCTGCTATTTCCACAGCAAAGTTCTGTTGTTTGCAGTGCTCATTTCCAGGTACCAATTTCTGAATCAGTTTTGCAAGCAATTGAAAGAAGCTCTGACTCACCTAGAAGGAAAGGGAATTTCTTGGAAGGATACTATGCAGTTCACAGAATTCAAGGAAATACTGAAAAGCCAGGTCTTAGGAAGAAAGGAAAGCAAGAAGCTACTTGAACTTTTTCAGAAATATAAGTACTTTCTTTAGGTCATACCTGGGAATAACCCTATTCCACCCACATAGAGTCCCGTTGTCATTCTTCCTGGAGAGTCTGATTGGCTTAGTTTGGGTCACATGGGGGACCGTATTGATTGACAGTCCCATTAAGACTAAATAGAATTGGGAAGGGGTAGTTTCCCAAAAGAAGAGAGCTACTTCTAAAACAAGGAAAAAGGATGCTGGCTGTTTTACTGGGCTTGAGGTACCATAACAAAATACCATAGACTGGATGATTTAAACAACGGATTTTTTTCCCACAATTCTCCAGGTTGGAAGTCCAAGATCAAGGTGCCAGCATGGTTGGGTTCTGGTGAGGACTCTCTTCTTGGTTTGCAGACAGCCATCTTGTCACCATGTCCTCGCACAGGAGACAGAGAAAGAGACAGAGGGAGAGAGCACGCTCCATACTGATGACTTCATCTAGACCTAATTATCTCCCAAAAGCCTTATCTCCAGACACCATCACTTTGGGGCTTAGGGGCTCAACATGTGAATTTGGGGTTGGGGGGAACACAATTTAGCACTGGCCTAGCAAAAACATCAGATGTCTGCTACACAGCCAAATGTAGTTTGCATCTTATTTAAGAGTTCCAAAGATCACAGACTGAAATATATAATAGCTTCACTACCAGCTTGTTTAGTAACTTGGGAAACTTAACTTCACAATTCTCGTTCTAGCAAAACAGAGTTTGTGAAACGTACTCCCTTCTTATGTCACCAAATGTAAGCTTCAGTAAATTAACAATAACCAAGAGCTAGAAAGGGTCTCAGATCTCTTAAGGGAGTGATTTTCAACCTTACCTTGGCTGCACATTAAAATCAGCTGGGACAATGTTTAAAAATGCACACAGCCAGAGATCCTGATTTAATTGGTCTGGCGGGAAGATCTTGGGCATCAGTATTTTTAAAATGTTCCTCAGGTGGCTCTAATGCATAGAGAATGTCAAAATGCCGTGGTTTAGGGATAGTTGGCTCTCACTCCACTTTCCTCCTGCAGAAAGTCCTTTTGTATCTATGGAGGGTAGCTGTCAGCTTCTGTTTTTTTTAATGATTACAGGGAGGGGAGTAGCTTAGTCTGCTCCAGCTACCATAACAAAATATAGACTGAGTGGCTTAAATAACAAAAATTTATTTTGTCACAGTTCTGGAGGCTGGAAAGCCCAAGGTCAATGTTCCCACAGGGTTTGTTTCCTGGCTGAGGTTCTTTTCCTGGCTTGCAGACAGCTGCCTTCTCTCTGTGTCATAGAGGCAGAGAGGGAGGAAAGGAGGTAAGAGATGGTTCTCTGGTACCTCTTCCTATATGGACGCCAATCCTATTAGACCAGAGCTCTACCCTATGATCTCATGTAATCTTAATCACCTCCATAAAGGCTCTATCTCCATATATGGTCACTTTGGGGGTTAGGGCTTCAACACATACATTGGGGTGGTGAGGGGAACAACATTCAGTCCAAAGCAGGGAAGTCACAGCTCAATGGACTATGGAGGGCCTTAAATTGTTAGAAAGCTCTTCTTCATATTAAGCCCAAACTTCTCTTCCTACATTCCACCTCTTTGTCTTACTTCTGTGGAAAATGTTAAGAAAATACTAAGAGACGTGGGAGGCGACTAATACAGCTAACAAGTATATTGCTGGGTATTTCCCACATATTATCTCTCTCAAGCCTCAGGAGAATACTGTGAAGGAGATATCACTCTCCCCAATTTACAGATCAGAAGACTGATGCCATAGAGGATGAGTAATCTGCCTAAATTCATAAGGCCAGAAAGTGGCAAAATGAGAATTCAAACCCCAGCCTTTCTGCCTCCTAAGCCCATGTTCTTCCCACCATCATGCTGGGGAAATCATGTCTTCTACCCCAAACTCCTCAGATGGATGAGGGTAAAGTTGCCTCCCAGCTCTCCCTGCTGAGAACATGCCTTGTCTACCCAAATGCTGCTTCTGCTACTGCTTGTGTTTTGCTTTCTTTCTTCTTTCCCTTTCTCCCCTTTATTTCATTCTTTAATTTTCTGCTCTTCACCCCAGCTTTGATTTATTTCTGTCACTTTATAATCTTATTTTGCCTCAGTGTTTGTCCTGAAATTGCTTTCATTCTATAAACTCTGGTACAGACCAAACATTAGCATGTGTAAGAATCACACAGGCAGATTCTGATTCACTAGGTGAGGAGAGGCCCAAGACTTTGCACTTTAGACAAGCTCTCAGGTGGTGATGTTGTGGCTGGTTGGTAGATCACACCTGCAATATGCTAGTGCTGTGTAGACAAGCTCCTCAGACTTCCTAACAAGCTGACCTGTACAAAGTGTTTGTGCCTTTTTCCTTTCTCCTCTAGAGGGAAGATCAGCTCGTACTTCCAGTACGTACAACGATGACTGGCAGATACAGAAAACGCTTTTTGAAGATAAACTCTCCAGGTCATGGGAGCAGACATCTGATTTGCATATAATCTGAATTTTTTTTTTCCTGCTTACTATCCTTTCCTCCTTTTTCTGGAATAGCTCTGCTTTTTTCATTGGGGGAAGTGTGATCATAATGTGTCTGCCAATCATACTGACCTATTCCCGGCTTATTCCACCACAGGTGTGGACATGAAGGGCTCATGAAGGGCAAGTCAGAATCCTCTTAGAGAATTGCCAGGAATGCTGGGAGAAACAAGATGGCCACCTTTTCCTTCATATAGAGGGCACTTTCCTGGCAATGAAGCTAACACAGAGAAAAATAAAACCTAAAGATAGAGAGAGGGAGAAAGGGAGAGAAAAAGGAGGGAGGGAGTAATCAAGAGAGAGAAGTTCTGATAATACTGCATTCAGTTTTGCTGAAGCCCGTCTTTCCTTAGAGTGCCCATGGCCGTGGTCAATAATGACTCTTTGGTTTAAGCTCATTTGAGTTGAGTTTCTGCTCCTCACAACCACACTTTAGCAATGGAAGGCACAAGATGTGTCCATCTTGTTCAACATGGTGTCCCCAGTGTTGGCATTCGATACCTGTTCAGAATGAACAGAGAGGGTTCTCACTATACAAATATTTTTCTGGGTCTAAACATTCACCAGAATACCTCAGCTCTTCCTTGTAGCTGCATATGGAACTTCTTCACAATCTGTCCTTTTTGGTTATAGTGGATACTGGGAATAGAACAGCAGTTAAGAATATGGGCTCTGGGTTGGGTAGAATTGGGTTCAAATTGTGTCTTTGCAACCTGCTATTAAGTTGTAAACTCTCTGAGGCTCAATTTTTTCCACTTATAAAATGAGAACAATAACATTATTTATGAAGCAATTACCACTTTTGCCTCCTCCATTGCTCTTTCTCACTCTTTTTTTTCATAACTGAACTTGTTGCACTGGCCCAGGGTGGCCATTTGTCCCAGGCAAAGCCAATGATAGCACCCTTGTCCCAACCAGGTTGGATTAACAACTCTGCTTGGAATTCAAACTATGAGTGAAAACCCACAGAGGTGGAAGGTCGTTTAAACAGTTATCCAATGATGATGGTGCACAGACTGAAGAAAGCACCAAGAGCTGACTGGAATCAAACTGCTATTGTTTCTGTCCTTCCTAACCCTGTCTTGCAGCTCTTCTGATTTGTGAGCCAGCCCAGAGACCTTCCAATAAATCTTTTTTGTGTAGGATACCATCAGAGAGCCTTAATGAATCAAGCCATGCTTTGAGAATTAAATAAGATAATACATGTGAGGTAATTAGCACATTACTGGGGATAAAATAAACGCTTAATAAATGTTAGCTAGTAATACTACAGTTTGACTTCCTACCTGATGAATTTTACACAGTTAAACAAATACCTCCCTGTTGATTACAAAGAAGTCGGCCATATGGAGTTGCTTGTGTAAGAAGCAGCCTGACTGCGAACTGCAGACTACACATCGGTGTCCACTCTTAGCCTTAGTGAAGGTGAGAATCAGATGTAGAAATTCTGATTCAGTATATTGGGGTGGTGAGGCAGAGCTCAAGTTTGAAACCACCAATTATTTTCTCCAATTATGGTATCTTAATATATATGGTAGCTTTCTTCTGATTGGCAGATAAGTGAAACTCCTATTGTTTCTCAATTTTGGGCTCTTTAGAAACAGACTGCTCATTAGTTAATTTCATGTGTGTTACGAGTTTTAAATCACCGCAGTAGGCTGCAAAATGGCCCCCAGGCATGTCAGGTCCTAATCTTTGAAACCTTTAAAGTTTAACTTATAAGGATAAAGGGTTTTTGAAGATGAGATTAAATTAAGGATCTTAGATGAGATGATCTGGCGTTATCTGGGTGGGCTCTAAATGTCATCACAAGTGCCTTTATGGGGGGAAGGAGTGGGTGAGGAAAATTTCATTCACACACAGAGAAGAAGATGATGTGAAGACAGAGTTAGAATTGGGGTGACATGGCCACAAGTCAAGAAATGCTGGCAGCCACCAGAAACTGAAAGAGTCAGGGATTAGATTCTCCCCCTAGAGCCTCCAGAAGAAGCGTGGCCCTGCCAACACCTCGATTTCTGCCTGGTGAAACTGACTGTGGATTTCTGGCCTCCAGAACTGTGAGAGAATAAATTCATGTTGTTTGAAGCCATCAGGTTTGTGGCAATTTGTTACTGCAGCAGCTATAGGAAATGAATACATTATTCTAAATATCTTTGTCAAATATATTGAAAATCTGTCTAACTGTTTTAACAGAAACTTAATTTTATTTATATAGATTATTTGGCCCTTTCTTACTCTGGTAATGTTTCAAAAAAAAAAAAAAAAACTGTAATGAGTCGTTTCTGTACAGACTCACGTCCGCCTGCGGTGTTATGCACAGACCACCCCTAGCTGAATCACCCTCCGTAACAGGCACCCCGGTTCACATGTTTCTGATGTGGTTCTGTTGCCCCTGGATCAAAGCTGCAATCCCCAAACCCTTAGGCTCCCTCTGAAGGAGGAATGAAAGAATAAGGCCGACTGCAGATAGTGAAGCCCCCTTCCCTTCACTCTCACCTTCCCCAGGGGCAGGGGAATGGCTCGGGGCACAGCTGTCCATGGCCTTCCTCCATTCCTTCTCTCTCATTGGGGTGGGCCAAGTGAGGTGTAACCTCTTTGAAGAGAATAAAAGACATTGCTAAAGTCTTCTTCCTTCTCCAGGTCTCTACCCCTAAAGCAATTATCTTTTTACTTTTCCTAATACTTACAAATGTGATACAAATATTTTAAGAAATATTTAGACACAGAAAAATGTACAGTAAATGATGCCAGTTCCTCTCTCTGTATCTTCCCATTTCACTCCTTGCTATGTATTTATTTGATCAGTGTTAAAAATTTGATATTTCCTCCTAGAAATTTTAAAAAATTAATGTGCATGTCATTGTATATCTATGCATGTGTGTGGACTTGTACACATACAGACATATAGGGCTGTTTTGTCTTAATAATAATAATGGGAAAAGATTAAATGCTGAATCAAATCAACTCTGTTATGCCAAGATTAGGGCCAAGGTTAGGAAAGATTCCCTTGAGCTGGGAATGTTTGGGTGGATGTCATTTAAGATTTTGAACCCCGGGCTAAGCGTAGTGGCTCACACCTGTAATCCTAGCACTCTGGGAGCCGAAGGTGGGAGGGTTGCTTTAGCTCAAGAGTTCAAGACCAGCCTAAGCAAGAGCGGGACCCCCCATCTCTACTAAAAAATAGAAAGAAACTAGCTGGACAACTAAAAATATAGAAAAAATTAGCCAGGCATGATGGCGCATGCCTGTAGTCCCAGCTACTTGGGAGGCTGAGGCAGGAGGATTGCTTGAGCCCAGGTATTTGAGGTTGCTGTGAGCTAGGCTGATACCACGGCACTCTAGCCCGGGCAACAGAGTGAGATTATGTCTCAAAAAAACCCAAAACAAACAAACAAAAACCCCAAGATTTTGAACCCCCAGGCTTCTCTAAATTCTCCTGGTCTGTGGAAGATACCATCCGTCTCCAAGAGCCAGCATACCCTCCTTGCTTGAAGACAATGTTCCCTGTAGGGTTACCTGTGCCTCCCTCATGTTCTTCTCCCATTTCCCTTCCTAGATACCAGATCTATTACTAGAGTTTCTTCCAACATGACACAGCTGTGGACATGCTGGGCCTGCAAAGGAAGGAAAGAAGCTCTATCTAAAGGAGTTGCAAGGCCCAAACAGAATGTATTGGTAGGGGCTGAGGGAGCATTATCGGGGCTGAATTCTGAGGGTGCTCCATTAAGTAGGCAAGAACAATATATTAGATGGGGGAGAGTTTATTGATTAGAGACACTCTCCCAAAATATAACATTTAACACCCATCAAGGATCCAATGAAATGATATGAACTCACTACTAGGATGGATCCTAGAAGCATGGAAAAAAGTAACAGCTCATACTAAATAAAGTTGAAATGTCAGAATTGCTATGGTAGGCAGTAGAGGAAAGGATTAATAGGCTTAGGGAAATGGACATGCTCAAGTGGATTATCTATGTGATGCTGGAAAACTCACCAGATCGGTATGTACCAGAGGAAGGACTATTGAATATATCATTACCAAGGCCACAAGTAATACCTTGGTGACTTTGAGACCAGCCTGGGTGACATAGAAAGACCCTATCTCTACAAAATAGATTTTAAAAATTAGCAAGGCATGGTTGTGTGTGCCTGTAGTCCCAGCTATAGGGAGGCTGGGGCAGGAGGATTGCTTGGGTCCCAAAGTTTGGGGCTATATTGAGCACTGATTGGACCATTGTACTCCACCCTGGGCAACAGAGTGAGACCCTGTATGTAAAAAATATAAAAATAAAAAATAAATAAAAAGTAATGCACTGATGAGAGGGGTACCAGCATCACTAAGAAGTTTAGTGGTGGATCCTCTCAGGGTTATTAGTAGGAGAGGCCATTACAGAATTAAGCTCAATGATAGCAATGGGGATATTAGGAATCTAAAACAATGGAGGGTGGGTGATGATGTGGCACTGCCGGAAGCCAGGCAGACATCGTTATCTTAATAAGAGTCAAAGTTATAGGTTTAACCAACGGGGACTCACCTGCAAAGAATAAAGGAGGTGATTAATAGAACACAGTATCTCTAGAGGCAAAATATATGGGCAAGAACATGGGTGCAACTCACCTTGCACTATCAGAAGAGATTGAAGTGGGTCACAACTAGATTGAGGGCAATTATTCTAATTAAAGTTTATAATTCCTTGCTTACCTCCTGGATCTAAATGAGTTTTCAGGTACAGAACCCACTGACTGAAGAGGGGGCCAGGTTTTCAGAAGGAAGGACCCTCACCTCATGACAAAAGGGACCAATACCCACTTAATTAGGTATCTCAAACTTTTTGGAGACTGTGGGACACAAATGTCTGAGTTGACCTTGATATCCAGAGACCCAAAGTAACATCATGGTCTCCCTGTTAGAATAAGAGCTTATGAAGTTATGATCAAAGTCCTGCTTACAGTGGACCTATTGTATGTGTTTACCCAATCAGCAGTTGTTTCTCTGGTCCCCAAATGTGTAACTGAGATTGCCCTATGTAATAGTTGGCACAAGCCTAACTTTGGGTCTTTGGCCTATGGAGTAAGGGCTCTCACAGTTGGAAATGCCAGTGGAGGTCTCTAAAATGCTCCACCATCCCCTCAATCCCATCTGATATGGCCTAAGTTTGTCCCCCCAAATCCACATATTGAAATTTAATGGTCAATGTATGGTATTAAGATAGGGTTTGGGGAAATGTGATTACATTATGAAGGCAGAGCAATAGTGGTTGGGATTAGGGCCCTTATAAAAGGATAAAAAGCCTTAAGGGAGCAGATTTATTCCCTTCCATCTCTTCTGCCATGTGCAGACACAGTGTTTATCCCTTTTGCCCTTCCATCTTCTGCCATATGAGCATATAGCAACAAGGTGCCCTCTTGGAAGCAGAGAATAGGCCCTCATCAAATACAGTACCTGCTGGTGCCTTGATCTTGGACTTCCCAGCCTCCAGAGCTGTTAGCAAATAAATTTCTGGTCTTTATAAATTACCCAGTCTGTGGTATTTTGTTAGTGCAGCACGAATGGACTAAGACATCATCCAAGGACCAAAAACAATGTAACAACCCCAGAGTGGGGGTTATGGCAGAAATTAGTGGCACCTTTCAGGATTTAAAGGGTACAGGGATGATGGACTTTATTATATCTCCATTTAATTTGCCAATTGGCCCCAGAAGAAACCAGATTGATCGTAGAAAATGGCAGCTTACTGAAAACTTCAGTTATCCCCTAATTGCAGCCACAGCACTAGATATGATTAATATCTTTGTTAGAGAAGATTAACATGATTTCATGTACATGGTACATGGCCATTGACTTAGAAACAATATTCTTTTATATTCTGATCAGAAAGAGTCTGCATTCACATGGAATGGGTAATGATACACACTATGTTTTAGTCCCAAATCTATGTTAATTCTCCCACTTCCTGTAGTAATATAATACAAAGAGATCTGGACCATCTGGACATCCCAAAGAACTTCACAATGACCTCCCACATCAGTGCCATTCTCTTAATTGGTGATAATGAATAAAAAGTAGCTAGTGCACTAGAGGACTTAGTAAGATGCACATGCTCCATAGAATATGATATAAACCCTGTAAAGAACCATGGGCTTGACATGTAAGTAAAATTTTAGGGGTCCTATAGTCAGGAGTGTCCAGGGCATGCCTTTCAAAGTCAAAGATAAATCTTGTAAGAAATCTTGTAACCTCCCCCTACAAAGAAGGAATCCCTGTCCTTTATAGGCTGCCCTCAGTTCTGGAGATGGCATATTCCACACCAGAGAATACTTCTCCAGCCCATATACCAAGTAAAAAGAAATATTACCAGCTTTGAGAGGATCCCAATGCAGGAAAGAGTTCCTCACTAATCCAAGCTGTAGTACTAGCGGCCCTATTTCTTGGTCCGTAAGACCCTGCAGACCCTAAGGTATTAGAGACATCAATGGCAGGAAAAGATACAGTGTGGCAATGGGGCTATGGAAAATATATGGAAAGCTATGGGGCTATGGAAAGTCCCAGTGGGAGAATAACAGTGCAGGCCCTGAGATTCTGGAGCAAGAATTACATACTTGAAAAACAACGAAACAAACAAAACAACTCCTGTTATACTGCTGGGCATCAGTAGAGCTGGAATGCCTGACTGTGAGACACCAAATGACCATGTCTCCAGAACTGCCCGTCTTCAACTGGGGTCACACAGAGGCCCCAAGTCATAAGGTTGCTTGGGGCCTGTAGCAGTTTATCATAAGATAAGCATGAGCTGTGAGCATGAGAAGGGCTAGAGAGCAGAACACGAGCAGCATAACCCCGTAGCCCAGACTCCCGTGACTTTCACCACCACGCACCAGGGTCCCTCCCAAATCTCGCTATGAACACACTGGGGAGCTCTCATCACCGGCTAATGGAACAACAAAAGTTCCAGGCTAAGTTTACAATAGAACAGCTTAGTATGTGGGTGCCAAAAAATGAAAGCAACTCAACTACAGCCTCATTCTGAAATGGCTTTAAAAGATAGTAGTGAGAGAAAATCTTCCTATAGGCAGTCTGGGGGGGTTCACCTGTTTATCCACTTTTTTTTT